TGTGGAGTGCTTTTTACTACCAGCTGGCCTGTGATATGCTGGCAAAGAGGTAAACTTTCTCTGCAGGGTACAACAGGCACTGAGATGACAAGCAAAACTTTATGTCTTATAAAGTCTCTCCAGTCCTCCACCCCACCCCCAATCCATAGCCCTAACACCGGCATACAAAACTACTTAAAGGGCTCAAATGAATTTTTAGAGAACAGAAAGGATATATCTGGAGTTAAGGGGCAACCATGAATTCCTTCTGTAGGAAAAGAAGGGATTCTGCCTGGGCCCTGAGCTTCCCACATGAACTTCTCACATAGCAGAAGGCCATTGGTATCTCAGCAGGAGCCTGAGTTTGGGTGTAGGTCTGTGGGTACAGTCAATGACATTTCTGCTAATATTGAGGTATGTCTAATTGTAGTTATAGTCTGACCAGAGCTGTCTTGTGCAGTATTCGATAGAGAGCATCACTGTGGCGCATCTGAGAGTGAGGTAGGGTGGGTGTGCCCTGCAGGTAGGGATGGGAACTTACTGGATAACAAAGGAGGCTAGAGACAAAGTCTAGAGAGACAAAGCCAAGAACAAGTAAGAGGCCAGGCCTAGGGTGCTGTGGATGATTGATTGATAGATAAATAAAATACTGATTGGCTAGTAGCCAGACAGGAAGTATAGGCAGGACTAGCAGAGAGGAGAATTGAGAAAACAGGAAGGCAGAGAGGAAGAGATGCCAGCCTGCTGTCCAGGGAGCATTATGTAAAGGCATCAGGTAAAGCCATGGAACATGTGGCAACATATAGATTAACAAAACTGGGCTGAGTATAAGAGTAAGAGCTAGACAATGATAGGCCTGAGCTAATGGCCGAGCAGTTTAAATAATATAAGCATCTGTATGTTTATTTTATAAGTGGGCTACAGGACTTCCGGGGCTTGGCGGGACCTGGAGAGAAAAACTCTAGCTACACTAGTGAGACATCCTGATTGCTGGCGAAGAAATGAGGAGTGAGGAAGAGGCTTCCATCCACCATAGCCTCTTAGTACAGACCATAATCCTAAAACAATGACATGGTTGGGAATAGGATGTATAACTCAGTGGTAGACTTCTTCACTCCAAGACCCTGGGTCAAGCCATCACACCACCACCACAATAAACAAACCAACAAATAAATAACACAGGTGGATATGGCAGGGGGAAGAGGTCAGGGTGAGGGAAGTAGACCTGGGAAGAGGAGGCATCAGGTATGGGGGGGGATGGAAGGAGAGTCCTGGGAGAGACAGCTGGAATCAGGGACATCTCTGGGATGAGCTAGAAACCTAGTGCAATGGAAACTTCCAGGTATCTATAAGAGTGACCCCAGCTAAGACTCCTAGCAATGGGAGATAAGGAACCTGAACCAGCCATCTCCTGTAACCAGGCAAGACTTCCAGTGGAGGGATTGGGATCCCAAGCCAGCCACATAACCTCTGACCTGCAATTCGCATTCGCCCTGCCTATAAGATATGCTGGCAAAAGATGGAACAAAAATTATGGGAGTGGCCAACCAATGACGGATCCAGCTTGAGACCCATACCAGAAGAAGGAACCCATCCCTGACAAATGCCTGGAGGGCCAGGACCCAGAAGCTAGACAGCCCAGAAACGTAGGATAGAACCAAACATAACTGGAAAAAAAAATCAAAGAAATTATTCCTAATGATATTCTGCTATACTCATACATTGGTGCCATCAGAGAGGCTTCACCCAGAAACTGATGGAAACAGATGCTGAGACCCACAGCCAAATATTAGGTGGACCTCGGAAAATCCTGTGGAAGTGTGTGGGGGGGGAGTATGGGAGCCAGAGAGGTCAAGGACTGTGGTGATATTTTATTTGTGCACCCCAATAAAGCTTATCTGAGGATCAAAGGAAAAAGTCAGCCACTATATTAAACATAGAAGTCAGGCAGTGGTAGCACACACCCTTAATCCTAGCATTTGGGAGGCAGAGATCCATCTGGATCTCTGTGAGTTCAACAAGGCCACACTGGGAACAAAGCCAGGCATGGTTTTTAAAGGCACACACCTTTAATCCCAGCACTAACCATGGAGGTCTGGAGGTCTGTACAGACAGACAGGAAGTGATGTAGCTGGGCAGAGAGAGGAAGTAAGAGGGCAGGGACAGAAAGGCATATAGGCATGGGTATACAGGAAGTAGGTCTCTTTGGCTGAGGATTTCTAGCAGTAAGAACGTAGCTGGCTTCTTTCTGCTTCCCTGATCTCTAAGTTTTTACCCCAGTATCTGGCTTCAGGTTCTTTATTAATAAGACCGTTTAGCAATTCATCTTACAAAGAACACCACAGGAAAACACACAGAGTCAGCTGACCTGGGCTCATGAGGGCTCACAGAGACTGAACGGACAACCAGAGGACTTGCGTGGGACTGACCTGGGCCCTCGGCACATGTGTTGCAGTCGTGTGGCTTGGTCCTCTTGTGGCAGAGGGAGAGGGGATGGGGTGCCGTTTCTGACTCGGTTGCCTGCTCTTGGGGCCCTGTCCTCCTTCTGGGTTGCCTTGTCCAGCCTTAATAGGAGAGGAGTGCCTAGTCTTACTGTAAGTAGATGTGGGGGAGGCTGTTGGGGAGGAACTGAGAGGAAGGGAGGGAGGGAGGGGAAACTGTGATTGAGCTGGGGGAAATTAATAAATTGATTAATTAAAAATAAAGTATTATGAACAAAAAATAAATAAGTGAATTTAAAATAATTACGTGATCTGAAGGTGGGAGAGACATTTAGGAGAGAATATCATTTGTATTCAAGTTGCCAGTATAATATTACAGAGAGAGTCGAGACAGGTCTCTTCCCTTTTGTGTTTCCAGGAGTTAAAATGTTGATATTGTAATAATCCAGCCTGGGAGCAAATAACTGGACTTTCTCACGTCAGCCCACAAGAAAGAAGGGACAGAAGCTTTCCCTTCATACCACACCACCTCTCCATCTGAGCCAGTGTGGATTCCTGTAGGCTGGTGTGGCATGCACGCTGTAACACAGGGTGGAACCTTCCTGTAGATGGAAACATCACTGTCTTCCTGGGCGACAAGACACTGGCTGCACCAGGCTTTTCCTTTGGGGCCACCAACCAGCTCCCAAATCATGACACGGAGACTTCTTATTAGTTTTGGTACTCAGCCTTAGCTTACCTCTTATTTTAATCTGTTTCTCTTTATCTACATTTTTGCCTTGGGGCTTTTTACCTTTCTTTCTTTCTTCCTTCCTTCCTTCCTTCCTTCCTTCCTTCCTTCCTTCCTTCCTTCCTTCCTTCCTTCCTTCCTT